TATTTTAGAATTCTTTCAAACCATTTGGAAATTTCTCGAGAGAGTTCATTATATTTCGGCTGCCCCTAAGCATTGTTGTGTATAAATTAATAATGGCTAGTTTCCATGACACAGAAATAAAAGTACACACAATGCATCTAATCTGAATTTTCTGCCACTTCTCAAAAAATTCTTTTTATTTTTTTCTTTAAAGTGCTTGGAAAACCCTCATCCTTTTCTTGTCAACAAACCACACTGTTTTTAGCACTGTTTTATTTCATTTTTAATATATATATAAAGTAACTTACAGAGAACTCTCCTGTGTGTTTATTTGGAAGGAAATCCCAGTGTGTTGAAAAAGATTTATTCCCTAGCAAGTGCATTTTGGGATAAGAGTTTAAATTAAGGTTTCAGAGGATGACGGCAGTAGCTTCTGTACTTAGTCATCAGTACGTTTTTAATTTGTTTGTTTTGTTTGGTAAGGACTGAGTGAGAACCTGCAGATGTTTTATTGAAAACAAATTTTGAAACATCATAGTGCTGTAGAACATTGTGGAGTATCCCTTATTGCAGACACACAAATGGTATGTCCTTTGTTTAATACAGTATAGTAATCTGATAACTTTACACCAAATCCATAAATGTTTAGGTACCTTGAATTGAAAGTCAAATTTAATTGTAACTGTATCTTGCAACATGTGAAAAGAGAGTATATAACAAAGGGGTGTGTGCATGCTCACTAAAGCTGATTTCTGATGATTGCAAATACTGTACAGCAGCTTCTCTGTCTAGTTGCCTAGCATTACTAGCTGCCGTTGCCACTGCTTCTTTTTTTGTCAAGTTGTTGTTATTTAACCTGTTATAACTTTCTAAAAAAATCTACTCAAAATAATTAATACAAATTGTGCAATTCTATGTGTGTTTACTGAGAAGTCCTGTGTGTTCTGCCTTTGATCTTGGGTAAGTCAGTACAAGATTTTGGCACTGATTTATTTGTTTGCGTCTAGAAAACGGCCTAATTGAATTTTCGTGGAAAGCTAAAATCGTTACCACTAACAATGCTATGCTGTCATCAGATATTGTTATGGCAAAAGTGGTGGCTCGAAGACACATTCGCTACATTCGCCTGCAAGGCGCAGAAGGTGTGAAAGCGCTGAAGCTGCTTTCACTCTGCATAATGTTTATATTTTTATGTTACCTACCAAGATCACGCAGCTCAACAATATCGTGAAATAGTGGCAATATACATAATTCAATTTGCACAGCTTATTCTGTTGGGAAATACTTGTTTACCCCTGGGTGTTGTCTAGTTTTGTTTCTTGTTGCAGGAGGAACAGAGAAACTAGAAGGAGTAGTGTATGCACATAGAGATGAGAATTGGGGGAGAATGAGTGGATGGGGGAGTCAAAGAGAAACCACCTTCATCCATCCTGAGAGAGCTATTTCCTCATATTCCATACTGGTGGAATAGGATGTGGGGTGTGTGTGTGTAACTTCACTGCTTGTTTGCTCATTACCACCACCCTTCCCCATTCCACACCCACACCCTTCTCTAAGAGGTGTGAAAGAAATGTCTTTGTGACTTACCGTACCCCTTTCCCTGAGATGGCTTCGCACAAAGATCTGTCTAATTGACTACAAACACAACATGTACAAAGGCTTTTGGATGGATCTGGCAGGGCTGCACTTCTGTGTAACGTATGCACCTTCATGATCTCTGGAAAATATATGGTTCATATATCGAAGGATTCTAAGTGGCACAAATGCAACTTTCTGAATACCTCCGTTGGATAACATGCACAAAATCCCAGATATACACCCTCTGTTAGGTGGCAAAAACAGATTTTGAATTCATAAACTCTTTTTCAAGCTGGATGGTAAGCAAATCAGGTATGAGGGAGAGAATGATCTGAGGCTGAAGCCACATAGTTTATGGGGTGGGGTGTTAAGATGAGACATGCGAAAACATGGGAGACTTTTAACTGGATTAAGCTGTACTGCATGCAGTGCAAATATCAGGGAGTGTACAAGTCTTAATAATGAAGGTGATCTAGTTTGTTTTCCTATGAAAAATATGTAAACATGGTGTAGATGCTTAAAATAATGCCCCAAAGGCTAAACATTCCAGTATGTCTTATATTATGAGCACTTTTCATTTCAATGTTTGTTTATTTACTGGAGATAGTTACAAATTGCTTTATTATTTACCTGTGCTAGGGAAATAGTCAAGACTCTCCTGTAACATAGAAAACTGCTTGCATCTTGTTTTCCCCATCCCCCAACAGGGCCTCTGTGCAGAGTTAACACATTGATCTCAATGGGCTTAGGCATGCCTAAAATTGGATCGATCAAATTGCTTTGTAGGTCAGAGCAAAGCTGAGGAAATTGTGTGGAAAGAAGTTTCTAACTATGGTTAAAGACACAAACCCTCTTCCGGGCAAAAAAATAAAGTGGTAGTGTATGAGTGATGTAGTTGACTGAGTTGACTACATGTGTCAAGTATATGGCAGTACAGTGGGGTCTCTACTTAAGAACGTCCCTACTTAAGAACAATCCAACTTAAGAACAGCTCCATTTGCTAAATTTTGCTTCTACTTGAGAACAGAAATCCAAGATAAGAACAGGAAAAAAACCTTTCCTGCTCTTTTTTTAACCTTGGGTCATCTTAGGTTTAAAAAAAAAAATTCTCCCCCTAGTGGTAGAGTACATATTAATCAGCTTTGCATTAGTTCCTATGGGAACTAATGCTTCAATGTACGAACGCACCTCTACATAACAAAAAAACAGCCAGAACGGATTAATTGGTTTTCAGTCCATTCCTATGGGAAATTTTGCTTCAACTTAAGAACGTTTCAACTTTAGAACACCATTCCAAAACGGATTAAGTTCTTAAGTAGAGGTTCCACTGTAGTTTCTATGGACGGAAAAGAGCAGATACGGATTAAATGGTTTTCAATGCATTCCTATGGGAAATGCAGATTCAACATAAGAACTTTTCAACTTGAGAACCACCTTCCAATATGGATTAAGTTCTTAAGTAGAGACCCCACTGTATAGTGAAGTAAAGCAGATGAATTTGATCCTTGCCAGATCAAAAGATCACAAGGGAACCTTGTGTGTGTATACCGTCTGAAGTTCTTGAGTGGAAGAAAGGTGGTATATAATTGGAAAATTTGTGGAAAACATTTGCCAAAATGTGGGGCTGGGGGTGGAGATGAGGAGCAAGGCAGCACTAGAGCAGAGTGAAGGAGTAGCAGACTTGGGTATAATAAGCTGAGGGTTTTTGTTTTTTTCTGTAGCACATACTGATGCAAAGGTAAACCCCACCAAGTTCAATGGAATTTCCTCAAAGGTAAGTGAGGAAGACGGTGCATGGCATAGAGATAATAATGTTGAACTATGACTCAAAAGGCCTGGGTTCAAATCCCTATTCAGTCATGAAATTCCCTTTGAGTCAATGATACCCTTTGGAATTTATTTTGTGCCAGCACAGATACCCCTGCTTTTATTAAACACCTTTAAGAACCCTATGTTATCTTCAGTCCAAAGAAAAGGGTGGATGATGATCCCTTTACCAAATTGTTATAAGAATCCCAGACATGAACTAGTTTTAGATCCTTGAGGTCATCAGATTGGGCAACATGGCGCTTAGCCTGGTGGAAGACCCACAAGGTGTTGGACGTTAATCCATGTGATTCTGTTTTAAGACTCAAAGTGTCATCCACATGACTTTTGTTTCTTTTTTTAGTGATGGGGAAGTTAATAGTGATGTTAATAGTGAAACCAAATAATGTGAACATGTTCAAGACTGATAACTTGTTAGATAATAAACCTGTTTTATTGGAAGATTTTGGGCTACCGTCACCTCTTTTACAAATACATGAAAAGGAGTAAAGGACTTTAACCCTGATCACAGGTTGGGGAGTGCAAAAGGAAGAAAGCACCTCCCTTTTCTCTAGTAGAGGAAATAAATGCATCTACTTTCCCCATGTACTAATTGAGTTAAAGTGAGCAGTATGAAGAAGAGATGGTTTAACTCCAGCAGGAGCCTCGGAAGACTCAAAGTGTATCATCAGCTTTTGCAGAGTGAATGCAGAAAAAGGCAGAGCGTTTGAACAGAACACATTTTGAACAAAAGTGTTCTGCACAAATATCGGTGTTGTTATTCACTGTTCTCGAGGTGCTATTTGATTTTTAAGAACTTTGTTTACCTTGTCTTTCTCCTTAAAAGGACCCAAGGCAGCTTTAGAGGAATAAGTATTAGTCATTAGAATAGCTCTTTGTTGGAGAATGATTCTAGGACAATTAAAGTAAGGTTAATTCAAATTAACTTAAAAACTAGGCACAAAGGCAGATGCGAAAGCCAGAAATGAGTCACCTCCCCCACCCCAGTCAAGAGGAGAGGGGGCAAGTGCGTATCAACATGGAACAGGAAATCTGTCTACATCCCTGAAAGGAGGCAGAGAGTTGACTTTGCTCTCTGGAAGGAACTCTGCAATGCTACGGTTCCCCCTAGACATCTGATGGGGGACAGGGATTTGTGGTAGTGTTGATGCTGTGATCCCCCTACTATGTTCAGTTTATACATATATAGAACTTAGAGCAATTCTGGGTAAGTGCTGGAGCCCCTTCTCACTACTATAAGTGGGTGGGGTGCACACACAAAGCAATACACTCTTTCACATTCTCTTTGCCAACCACACGAATAACTGAGTTTTCAGGAGTTTGGAGACTGCTGTCATTCAGGAGGTAGGACAGTGCCAGAGGGGGCGGTGATTTTGTGAAAAACATTGCCTTAAGCTGAAGTGGCTCCATCAATACATGTGCTCTTATAACAACATGAAGAAATTCAGTTTCATATCACAACTTTGGTTTTCCCCAGAGTGAAGTGCCATTGAAACATCAGTTTTGCACAATAACAGTCTCCCCCATATGAGCGTTCTGATTTTAGAAGAAATGAATAATATCGAAACATTTGTGTACTTGTGAACATTTATAAAATCTTATTCTTGTATCACTAGGTTCCTCTTCCAGATAAAACTAAATGAAGAGCAGAACTGAAAGGCAATCAACACAAAAGGTAAGCAAAGACTTCCTTCAGAAGCAATAACCTCTAAAGGTGTATTTTAGCAGTCATTTATCTGTAGTGGAGATAATTTTTAGGTATGATTCAGAATGTCCACATTGGCATATAGATATGGTATTCGCTGATGGCATGGTTTGGATCAAAACAAAATACCTTGTCCACAAGAGTTTCTACCTAGGACTGATCCATATTTCCTCCTTAAGACCCATTGTGCACTTTTCCAACCCAGGAACAGGGCATGCATTCTTTTTGGCATGCTCATTGTTTACCCTGCTTAGTTGGGAGACAGCAGCCTCCAGCAACGTCAGATTCCATATTAAATGGGCCTTGATTTTCATAGGTGTAGAATCTTTTTATAAATTGGCTTATAGTTGTTTATAGTTGGTGCTGGGTTAAGTTGCTTGCTTGCTAATAAGCTGCTGATGAGTGAAACACCCGCAATGGTTGCCAGGCTCAATTAAAAGGGAGAACAAACTTCAGAACACGGCCAAAGAGCCCGGAAAACCCACAACAACCATTAGATCCCGGCCGTGAAAGCCTTCATGAATATATTCAATTAAAAGTGTTGGTCTTAATCTTTAATGCCCTTCCCAGCTTGGGACATGATTATATAAGAGTCTGTCTCTTGTGAACCTGTTTGGATGTTAAGACCCTTAGGAGAAGAGAGGTCCAGTATCAACTCTTGAAGAAACCCACTTGACAGATATGGCCAAGGAATGGATCACTTCCCACTTCCACTGCTTTTAAGAAGGGTGTGAAGTGTCTCACTATCTTTTTAAACTGTTTTATAAAACTGTTTAATTTTATTATGATGATTTTTGCCAACGGCTTCCAGATTAGGCAAATGTTAGCGGTTTTACAATGCTGTTTGTTTTTCTGCTGCTTTAATTCCAATTTATGATACATGTGAGCCACCTGGAGCATTGCTCTGAAGTGGAAAGGTAGGGTAGAAATATAGCAATGAATAAATAATTAGTTAAGGATGACTAACTGATGTTTCTCAAGGGAAATTAATGAACGGAGCCTCCTGGCACAGTAGTTAGCTGCTATACTCAGCCAAAATTGTGCTCACGACCCGGGGTCCAATCCTAGGTATCTGGCTCAAGGTTGACTTCGCCCTCTGTCCTTCTGAGGTTGGTAAAATGAGTACCCAGCTTGCTGGGTGTGTGTGTGTGAGGCGGGCAATGTGTGGCCTGCATCATTAGTCCACCCAGAGAGTGCTTAAAGTGCTATGGGGCAGTATATAAACAACACACACTGTTTTTTTTTCTATAAGGGGCAACAGATGGTTGAGACCCATATGCTGCTCCGTGTCTATGTGTATGTGTTCCTGAAGCATGGGAGAAAGAGTGCTATTATTGAGCCAGAGGTCTAGAAGGTCTCATCATGAGCTATAAGTGTGTCTGTTAGCGTTACGGATGGGGGAAGAGCCTTTGCAATGTGTGTAATGCTTGAGGATGATTATGCAATTTCTTGGTCTCTTTAGGCATGTCTGGAACTTGTAAAATCTTCTGAGAAGTCCTACAATCAGTTAAAAACAGTGTTAGACTAAAACAAGCAACAGAGGACTCAAGACGTTTCTCTTGCTCTCTCTTTAAAAGTAAGTATATGTATGTTCCGGAATATTTGGACTTGTTTGAGAGTTGCTGAGTTTTGGGCCTCCCTAAGTGCTGCGTTCCCCCTCCCCCCAATTGCAAGTAAGTCACAGAAGTCATTAATTTTGCAGTCCATAAGAGGAAGGGATGAAATCCATATTGGAAAAGTATATTATGGCTGCAGAGAAAGACAGGGAGACAGTGCTGCAGGCAGGATTTGCATGACCTACCACCAACATTCCCTCTAATTTTCGGCCCCACTGCATGGGAGCTTCACCCTGTGCACGCATGTCGGGTTTCAGCCAGAACTGGAACTTAATGGATGCCAGTGTGCAGCCCCAGTGGAGCTCTGCACATGGACACACACAGCTTGGAGGGGACGTAACCCACCAGGTATGTGAGTGTTTGGTCTCTGGTCTCCTGAGTGCATAGAAGCAATGCCAGCTTCAGGCTTTGAGATGTCTCAGACAAGATGCCCACAGTAGACCCCTCCACCCCTTTCTGCCTAGGCTTTCACTTGCTCCCTTTTTGCTTCCTAGGCCCACACCTCGGCGTTGCCCAGAGAGAAAAGGCACGGGGAGGCTGTGGCAGCTGCTTTCCTTTCTGCTTCTTTCCTACTGGCCACAGGCATAATTACCTCTGGCCTGAAGGTGGAGGGCACATGGGAGGAGTGGCAACAAGTGCAGCTGTAATGGGGGCCAGGGACTCTGATCAACTGGGGACCTTTGGCAAGCCCTAAGCCTGGGCAGTAGCTTAAGGATGTAGACTCCGGTTGCTGGCTGTGCATGAAGGAATAGCTCTCACAAAATTCTGGGTAGAGGAGGTGGGGTCTAAAATCAAGCGTGGGAAGTCGTTTACCACCTTGATGTTTTTGACTATACCTCCCACAATACCTAACCATTCACCATGCTGGCTGGGGCTTCTGGGAACTGAAGTCCAAAACATACAGACCATCTTAGTCACCACCTCTGGTCTAAAAGGGCCTTTGTCATTTCCCTGTAATTGACTCATGCCACACTGTGGTACCAAGCTGTAAATGCAATCAGATGTGCACGGAACTAGAACAAAGAAGCCCAAAGAAGCTTGAAAGTTACCAGTTAACCTTCCAGTTTCAAAACTAAGGAGTCTTTTCATGAAGGGGACCATGTGACCCACTTCTGCTGGTCAAAATGAATAATGCTTAAGCATGTATGTGAGAGAGACACAGCAGTTGGCAAATTATGTCTATTCAGAGAGACACAGCCAGACAGAGTAACATCTGTCAGCACTGGAAACAGCCTGAAGGGCTGAAGAAGCGGATGGCTTGCTGCCTGTTTTTGTATTTTTTTTTTAAGTCTGCTCATTTTCCATAACCTTTGCTTCTGCACTGGGAAATAAAACAAAATACAGAATCAGCATCCAGTACTTTCTCATCCGAAAGAGAAAAAGGTCTTTAGTGTTTTTTCTTAACTTCTTAAGCTCACCCCCCTCTGGGTGACTTAAGAGAGCACAGCTGAAGCAAAGGTTGGGAAGGGCCTAGTTGGGGGTGATGCAGTGGAATAAACGTTCACACAGCATCAGTGACCTTCGTGTATCCTAATAATTGTGTTTTTTTTTTTAAATCCTGACACAGCACCTTGATTTCAAGTTGAATCTCTTGTACAGCTGTTAAACTGGTCCCGTTCTTACAACTTTAACGCAGGGACCATTTAGGCATTAAAATGCAGTTGACCTTCATTGAGAGCCTTTGTGGTATGATGATTCCTTACAAGAGGAAGGAGGAGTAGCCCCTTCCCGGATATGTACCCCAGGATATTTGATCCAGCATCGTGGCAGGTCAGAAAGGGTGTGTGTGTGGAGGAGTGTGGCTGTAGTCCACAGTAATCTCATCAATCTCAGCACATCATCTTTATCCTGTCATGCTAAGGCTTGGAATGCCTTTACCCTGTACTAGTCCATTGGGAAAAGAACAGCAGTGGAGTTGGGGTACTGCTATCCCCGCGACCCAACACACTCCCTACCAGAACTCACAGAATACATTTCCGTTCCTCTGTTGGGGTCTCTCGGAATTCTGCTTCTGGGGGACTTCAGCATACATGCGGAAATGTTGTTGTCTGGAGCGGATCTGGAGTTCATGGAGGCCATGTCTGCCATGTACCCAGGATTCCATGGGTTCTGCTCCTCTCAAAGCCTTCACCTGGTTACATGGGTCAGGGAGAGGATTATCTGAAGGTCATGCCTTGATATATGAATTTGGCAACTGGCCAGCCTGGGCTTTTTTTGTTTCTTGGTTACAAAACGGTCACAAGAGGTGACTCTTTCAACATCAGTACTTCCTAATATAGTTCCTCTAAACTTAAAGTGAACAGTGAAGCAATTTCTAACAAACCTCTGTGAGATGAGACTAAATTTGTGTAATGATGTAGTAGTGGATAGGCACCAAAACGCAAGGCGCGGAGTCTTGAAGAAAACGAGACAAAAATAATTATATTTTAAAAATCTTCAGCAGGGCTAGGGAATTTGTGGCTCTCCAGAAGATGCTAAACTACAACCCCACCATCTCTTACCATGCCTGTGGTCGATAGGACTCGCAAGAATTCACAGTCCAACAGGATCTGGAGGAATTCCCTTCCCTTCCTGTGCCCTACGGCTTAATATGCCTCCATAGCTGTAAGACAATGTCTGTTTACTTCTACAGCAGACGCCGGCTGCCCACAGGAGAAATAGTACACAAGGCTGTTCAATAGTGGCCCTGTGTTATTTTTGTTGGCTCTTACATGTTGTTCAGATAGGTTTTCCTTGTACAGTAGTTTTTTTTCTGTTGGAGAATGTATCTGCATCAGGACGATATTTCTGATTTTTAATTAAAGATCTCAGTAAAATTTACTACTGTTACACTAGGAGCACATAAAGGTGAATTGTTGTGATTTCTAAATGACTAATTTTCTCTTTGGGATTTGTGGTGAGATGACAGCAAGTTAACTTGAGCAAGAGCAGTGGAAAACATGGATCTCAGTCAGAGTTGCTAAAGCAAACCAAAGAAAATAGAAACTGCTGGGGAAACAGATGATTTAAAGCCGCTTTTAAAGGGAAGAGACTTGAATTTTTCTGTTAATTAGAAATTAAGAACGGTGATGTTTGATTCTCAAAAGTATTTGGTCCTGAGAATGTCCTGAATATACGTACCATTTTTTCCGTTTATAAGACTCCCTCCACTTTTCTAACCCCAAAATTAAGAAAACTTAGCTTTGAGTATTCAGTCTCTGGGCACAGAATGCTCCGACATTAGGAATCCCTGTTGAATCTGAGCCTACAGGCTCCACCTCCACTGAGGTGTGTTCCAATTGGTTTGTTCAGCATCAGCTGACATCAGTTCCATAAGGCTCGTGACTGTAGGAAGCTAAGCCTCTTGATTGGAGGCAGCCTGTTTGCAGAGGCAAGGTATGGGTCATTTTGTTCTCAGTTTATTTCTGTGTATAAGACACCCCTCAGTTTTTAGTACTGTATAATGATTTTAGGAAAAATAATGGAATACATGGAAAAATATGTTTAATATGGTTTTGCAGCTTTACTGCCTAGGGTGGTCACTTCACCGCTTTCGAAAACAATGACATACCTCATCAAAAAGAAGGATGTGGAGGACCAGGAACTCCAAAAAAGGAGCACATTCTTGTATTAAATTTGTGTATGCTAATTTAATTTAATATATACAAATCATAATTAGACATTATTACCATGGGTTAAGTGGAAATACACTATCGCTCACCATATTGCTTGAGACTATGACTAAGTAACTACATTGCAACACACCACTAGGACAAAGATACTCTCTAAATCCAATAAATAAATTCCATACTCCATCATAGCCTCACCTCAACTTTTGACCAAGATGACTTGGGGGAGTTTTTATTTTCTGCCCTCTGCAAACCCGTGCCCCTCCCCTTCTGCAAAGCCCAGCCTGATGAAGAGCTCGGCCCCACTCAAACGCTGCATGGTGCCTAGAGAGTCAGGACAGGAGGCGTCAAAGCCTTGCCTAGCCAGAGAATCTAATGGTGGAAGGCATGGGTGGGGGGTACTATTTGGATAAAGTTACATATGTTTTTTTCAAACTCAAGTCCATGGTTTCCTTTATTCTTTCTTTGTGCTCTTTATAGATCTAAATACACTTTGTTACTTTATGAACATAAAATGTATTATTTTACTTTGTTTGCTCATAAAAGGTGCTTCACTATGCAAAACATATGGCACTTGTATTTACAAAAAATGATATCATCTTATCTTTTCTGAGGATCCTCCTTGTTATTTTCACATTCTGTGTGTGTCCTTGCTTTTTTTACAGTCGGAAATGCCTTGTCCCCAACATTTGCAAGAAAGGAGGAGCTCTTGAGTTACATACAGCACCCTCCTAAACCTTTGTCTCATTTCCCCCCCTTGCTTCAGTCTCGGTGAATGATTGGTTAATTGTTTGAGCAGCAATCACTTCTCCCACCCATCCTTCATTTTTTTTTCCTCCTGGTTAAAAGCGTCCTGCTTATATACCGCCCCATAGCGTTTCAAGCACTCTCCGGGCAGTTTACAATTTTTAATTATACAGGCTACACATTGCCCCCCCCCCAGCAAGCTGGGTACTCATTTTACCGACCTCGGAAGGATAGAAGGCTGAGTCAACCTTGAGCCAGCTACCTGGGATTAAACCTCAGGTCGTGAGCACAGTTTTGGCTGCAGTACAGCGGTTTAACCACTGCGCTACGAGGCCTCTCCAGTGGCATTTGCTCTGCTTAAAAATGGGTGAATTCAAAGTATTATTTAACTGATCACATGACTCAGAGGCTGATTCGAATGGGTCCAGCCAGCCCTTTTTGCTCCCAAAGCACCTTTCCCCCCCTGTTGCTGGGGGAAACTTCTACCTTTTTCAAGCTGGAAGGATCTGAATGTTTTTTTCCCCCATGTGATTTGTTGTGGTACATTTTTGTCAAGACAGGAGGTATGCCTGAAGGTGGTGTTTTGATTACTTAGGCTATTGGGG